TAGAGGAAGAACAAGCTATTTAGTAGTGAGTACCAATAGTTCACAGAGAACATGAGAAAACCGCAATTCATAACATATACAGGAGAAATAGGAGAGAAGAACCATTAACCGCTTAATTCGTTTGCGAAAATTGAGGATTCAAATGGAGAGTGTGATGTCACAGTTTCGGTGAACCGGATGAAGTGAGTGGCATTTAAATAAGCCGCCTTAAAACAGGCTTGTGATGTTCAAAACGGTCTTTTGATTTATAAGACTCTCTTCACTCTTACCTAAAACCTCTTCTCATCGCATAAGAATAACATTACTATAATTTTAAGCAGCTAAATACTATAGATCGGTTATATAACTGAGATGCAGTAACAAATTGTTATTAAGAGCTTCAAATTAATTATAAATAAGAATATTCTACTACTATGTTAATTTATGTAGATATACGCGGACAGATTAGAAAATTTTCCTACGAACACCGAGTAAACTTGTTTCACCCAGCGCCTACTCAGCGTCATAGCTATGCAAGTACAAGTGTGGGTATGCATTACTAATTCGATTGCATTTAAATTCCTTCCAAATAACCAAATACAACAACAAGCAACACACCCACTCGCTACACACATTTTCCATATTCAAATTTATTGTATAATAATTGCTAGGCTTCCGACGGCAACTCCCTCCGCGCCTGCGCACCTCCAGCAGAACATACTCTCGACTCATTACAAATGTAGAACGCTAAGGCAGCCTGCTTGAATGCCGATGATCGCATCGCAAGTGGACATTAGGTGCGATATTCGCAATATTCATAAGTGAGTCTATATCTATTTACATTGTCAGATTAAATTGCGCAATAAATTCTACAAGTAAAAATATGTGAGTTCATAAAACCGCAATTCAACTCGCAAAGTGTATAATCTGTAAAATCGCATTTAAATTTCGAAATTGTTTTCATTCTTGTTTATTTACATTTACATACACAAATACAAAGATATGCAAATCGGGGCTATGAGTGGGGGCGGAAGGTGCATACAGTGTGGGAGGGGGTCTTGTTGGTGAAGCAGCTAACAGATATTTTCATGCTTTTTGATTGACGCAAAGTAAATTTGAGAAAAGCTTATCACATCCGGTGGTTAAACGTTCCCACAATAGGCAAAAGACATTCGGGACTGATGGAACAAAAGGTGTGGGTGCTGTTCATTTGTGCCAAGCGGTGTTATTGGCCGAGAAACCAATAAATGTTCGAGTTTTTTTATACAAATGGAATGTTGGATATGCTTAAGTGCTCGGATTGATTAAATAAATGTACAGTCTTTATAGCCAATGACCTTTTATTGTGACTTGAGTCGCTTTTTATTCGTTTACTACTGATCGTTATCTGACAATCAGATCATAAGTAAACCAACGCTGACGTCTGTACGAGTAAAAAGTCTTGATATTTTTCGTAGAGAGTAACGAATCGAACACTCTAACACGGATTGATTAAAGAAACGTACATTCATTATATACAATAACCTCTTTGCGACTTTCAACCGTTTACTGATTTATCTGGTTCACTGGCTCTTCAAATTCTAGCGCTAATGCAATAGACAATCATGACATTTTTTGGTAGAGAGTGCGAATCGAAAACTCTAACACTTATTGAATAAAGAAACGTACAATCTTTATAGCCATGACCTTTTGTTGTGACTCGAATCGCCTTTCAACTGCTTACTGATTTATCTGGCACTCAGGTCATAGGTAAACCAGCCTACAAGAGTAGCGAATCGAACACTCTATACCAACCAATTAGTGAGCAGAGAAATTGCGAATTGAAGACAGCTAATAAAATCTTAATGTGGATTAGGGCGAATATTTCAAAGGCTGTAGTCCTAAAAAAAATACTCAAAGCGATTACTGTCAGATATTTCTGCACAAATGTTAAAATACCCGCGTGGAAAGCACATAGCCGTAAAAGCCAAAATTATAAAATTGTATTGGATTAAACATTAGCATGCAATCAGACCTAATAGAAATGTTGCAGTGGCTAGCGACATTACAACCAAAGCGCTAATTGCTACGACATGACAGTTTGATTGTATAATATTTGTGAAATTCAAAAACATCAACAAGAGCCAAATATATTAGACGGTCTTCGGACCTCGTTACGCCAATTAACGTCCATATGTAATTTGATTCAATTTCCTTAACTAGTCAAAATCAATTTTCACTATTAGCAAAGGCTGTCACACCCAACCCAAGTAGATACCCACAGGGTGCGATGAAGAGTCGTTAATATTTTTTATAATCACACAATCATATTTGGCTTTCGATTTGAAAAGTAAGTTAGTTTATCATGAGTAAACAGAATGATTTGTGAAAATTAATTTAAATGAGGATTAAAGAATTCCCTTTTATGATCACACTTGTGCAAATTGCATTGTGAACTAGTGAATACCGTTATCGTAATTGCAGCTAGCTTTTGACAAAATTCTGCAAATCAAACGCATTAAGGCATTTCTGATTTGAAATGAGCTAAAGCAATTAATCGCATGCAACAAAAGTGAGGTCTGTCTCGATCTGCACGAAACATTTCCGGTATTTCACGAATTAACATCCCCTACACATACACACAAACATATGTATGTACATATATATATATGCATATATGCGACTTATTAGAGCAGGTTGTTGGAAGCCATCTGTGCCTTGTCTACGAAGCGTAAAAAATGTGTGGGGAAGCGAAAACACTTGCTCGGAACATTTTTGTTTGTTTGCCTTCTGATTGAAATGCCTCTTTAATTGGCAAGTAAACAAACATATACATATATATACTTGTATGTATACATACACACACATATGGCACTAGTGTAGTTGTGAAGTAAGTGGGGACTCTGTCAACTAATAACTCATCAAATATGTGTTTACATAGTCACATGGCAGTGCCGCTGGACGGGAGCGGGCGCTACAAATGCGATTATTCTATTTCTCAACCGCCGTACGTTTGGGCGCTGATAGTGGAGGTCAATTGGTTGCTGTTGTTGTTGATATTGCGGTTGTTGTTGTTCTCATTATAATATGCGATAGACTGTGGTTTCAATAGAGCGGGCAGACTATGGTTCAGCAGTTGCATTTCTAGTAAACAAGTTGATACATACATATGTATAAACACATTTATTAACATATGGCAGCACAATAATAGAAAAATAATAATAATATACAAATTTTAATTACGCCGACATACTGAGAAGCTGAAAAAGTCTTAGCAGCGCAAGGGGTCTTAAAACGCATGGTCATACGTATTTAAGCTCCTTCGCAAATTCTAGGTAAGAATGCTCGACACAAGAAAGTATACCCTTTACAAATAAAGAAGTTTCCATACAATAACCTGATTTGGATCGTTCAGTTTGTAAGGCAGCTATATGCTATAATCGTCCAACATCTTCTTGGGGAGAAAAAGACGTGTACAAGATTGCAGATCGATATCTCAAAAACTGAAGGACTAGTTAGCGTATATACAGACAGACGGACATGGCTAAATCGACTTAACAAATAGACTTAATCGCAGATGATTTATACTCGTATACCTATATTTTTTATAGAAACTCAAGCTTTTCCTTCTGGGTGTTCCAAACTTCGTGGGTAACTTAAAACACCCTGTTCTAGACATAAAAGTAAGTAATTGCTATTTTAATGAGCAGCAAATAATATTATCTTGTCGCCACTTATAATTTTACAATTAAAATCAGAGCATCATACTGATATATGTAAGAAAGTACGTACATAGGTTCATAAACTGGAGTGCAAGGCAAATGTTGATTTAGAACAGAATACGTATTTAAAAATGTTCATCACAGATATCAAAGTGAGGCCGAAAAGTTAGTTCGTTGCAGTGGAAAGTAGTGATCTAACCAGTTTTCGTCAAATGAACTCAGTAGCAGGCGGATTTAATTGGCCTAATATTTCACCAAAGTTTTTCATTAACAAAATCATTTCTATTTACTTTTAATTAGATACTCGTCTTGTTAGAAAGTAGGGACACAAGGTGCTGCATTTAGCACTGGTTATCTTGTCTCCTCCTTTTGAATTCGACTTTTTTTGCAGAAACTGGTTGTTTTGCAGTCTATGAAGCTGCATCGTCGCATTGAGAGATGATTTCGTCGAGTTCTTTCAGTATTGAGTTTGAATTTTCTGTGTTTATTTCTTTAAAAAAAAGTAGGGAACCTCGAAATGGATCACTCTTTATAAGGACTTCCAAACATCCGTTTAACTATATACCTTATATATTGATCAATCTGTGGAGTATTTTATTGCAATCAAGAGAGCATCTACTTCTGGTAATCATTTATCGTAATACCAAAACTGGATCAGATTTTTTCTAGGCTCCCATTTGTAAGATTTTCAAACTTTCGGTTGGCTTTATACCGCATATATCGGTTTTAGCGTAGATTTGGATTGATCATTAGGTATACGAATATATTATATTTAGCAATTTTCATTCAAGGTATATTTACGGTGGCACGTTTGATCATAGCTTTATCTTACAAAGTTTTCACAATTTTTTCAAGTATATAAACACCGCATTTAAGTAGAAAATAAGTTAAATAGAAAGGTAAATAACACAAAATCAACAATATAAATCTTATGGCTTTGAAAAGCAAGTAATAATGCAATCTAAATAGAGTGGTGTATTTTTAAACAAACAAATATTTGCTATACTAATTTTAATGTTACAGATATTAAGCAAAACAAGCGACAGCAGCTGAGTAAAAACTAGGAAAACGTGATTTGAAAACATATCGCAAACAAAAATAGCGAAATAATGAAAACAACAAATGGTTATAAACTGAATAGTAAAATTTAAATGTGTTGCGTATAATGTAGTCCTTTTCAGAGCACACTATTAAATCAAACGGAATTACACAAATTTACAACCTTATATAAAATTTTTAAAAAATTTTCATATTTTTTAAATGTATATGGTACACCTGTTACTTAATATAATTTTTTGTAAATGTGCAACTCGTACTCACCCGACATGAAATGCAACAGAATCGATGTAATCGGATACAATACTGGACTGTATGTAATGTCGGGACAATCATAGCCCAATACATTCACGATGCGATCGGCTACTGAACGCCCAGTGCGTGTAAGATGATAGGTTAGACAGTGAGCGGGATCGACGAAGGCGGGTAGCATTATGGGTTTTTCAGAGAGCTCCGTTGTGCCAAAGACCTAGAATTAAGAATGGAAGTTAAACACTACTTCACACACTATCTTATCATTCAATATCAAAATGTGGTGAAAATATACGAGCTTTTCAGACTGCATGAAAGAGCTAAAGCTCAATTTTGGTTGAATGGTTAATAAATGAAATGGTCGCATTTGAAGTGAGGGTATTTCAAGGCATTATTGAGGCGTCGTTACATCCTCAAAAATACACCGTATGGTGTGCTCTGTGGGCAGAGAGAATCATTGATCTATATTTCTTAAAAAATGAAGCCGGTCACAATGTTACAGTCAATGGGAAATGTTAAAGAGCCTTAATTAATGACTTTTTCTTGGCTCAATTGAAGGATGTTAATGGGACGACCTTTCAATCCAACAAAACGGCGCTTCCATACAGCCAACGAAACCATCAATTTTTTGCAGGAAACCCAGCTGCGGTGGCCACTTGCCCGAAATCGTTTTCAAAATATAACGGCAAACCCTTATCTTAATAACAAATACATATATAGTTCTTGACCATAACATTAAATTATATTCGTTTTATTTCTTCTTGAAGATGAGATGTCTAAAAAAACACTCTTTAGAAATCAATTATTTTGTAGTCAATGCTCTCATTTACATATTTACAGATACTATATATTTATATGTGATTATACAAAGTACAATTTCTCTTACCTGATGCACCATGTCCCAATAGAAACCATCCAACATATTCTGCTTCGTCTGATGTTGAGCGCATAGTGCTGGCCACAATTGTGCACGAATGGGCGAATTAATAGGCCATGAATTCTCACGTAGAATACTCTTCACATCACGCTTCTTGCCCTGCTGGAGTAGCTGTTGGATTTCAGTGAACGAACGCAACGCTGGTTCTTTGCCTATAAGAGCCAAGAAAATAAAGAAGGAATAATAATTGTAGTGGGTATTACAAAACAGAAGTATAGTAAATGCAAACTACAAGTATATGAAATACTTCTAATAAATACATATGACGCATGGCATTGAGGTAGGTCTTACGAAAATTTACGGAATCACGCAAGTTTCTAAAGATCTCTTCATTGAAAGAAAACTTGCTATTGGAATATGCGCGCATAGGTTTCGAGTCGGGCGTGTTTACAAAAAAAAAATATACTTATTGAGTACTGTTTTTACACATTCGAAAAGTGCGATGGTATCAAAACACTTAAGCTGATGAGATAAGCAATATTGCGTTGGTCAAATGGTGATTCAAATATTGCCGGTGCACGTTGGGAGGTTGGGAGGTTGACAAATCACCTTAAAAAGCACTGCAAATTACTCATAAAGTGCTTTATTTTAACAACAGATGTCATTGTTAAATGCGAACTGCAATCTAAATACACATATGGTCGATAGGTATAATAAAAAATTATAATAAACATATAAATAATAAAAGATTAAAATAAAATATCATTTGGTATTCACCGACAAATGTAGACATGTTGTTTGTCATATGCAAATCTACAAAAATTCGCAAATAATGAAATCATAAAATCATGAAATTTGAAGACTGCGTCAGAGTCTTGACGTTTAAACAATGGCTATTTTTTTTGTGGACGTGACTCTTATCACATGCACAGAGCCAATTGAGGCTTGGGGGTGTGTATGACGTTGATAAACGTACGAAAAAGTTACAAGTAATACATACATATGTACATACAAATAAACAATATATATATATTGTACTATTTGTAAGCAAATAAATTAATTAGATGCACAAATTTGTTTAATTAACTGTGAAATATGAAAAATAGGGAGCCATTAGAAAGGCAGATTAGGTGAATCATTGGCATTTAGTAGTAAGATTTTTCTTATTTACACTCGATACATTTGTTTTCGAAAGATAAACTACACAAATGTACATCTACATACTAGGGCTCTTAAAGTTATTCGAATAACCTGAAAACCGATTATTCGAATATACGGTTTGTAAGCGTTCGTATGAATATTAACCGAATAATACTATTCGAAAGTCGCAAGGTAACGACGTTGTTCTACTGCGAATATTCGAATAGTTGCTCTGCTGCGAGTATTTAAACAAATGAAAATTCTTTGAAATCTAAGTCGCCTTAGATTTGTGTACAAAATTTTATTTTTGAATGTTTCACTTTTTTCAATAAAAATCGGAAAATAAATAAACGCTTACTAATCGAACAGTCGACAACGGACCGGATAGCCGAAAATGAGCGGTTGATCGAATAGTCGACGACTTACAACTATACGAATAGTGCAAAACGAATATTATTATTCAAATAATGATCTATCTGGTTAATTCGGTTAGTCGAATACCAACAGCTTTACTACATATGAATGTACACATGCATTAGTTTGTAAGATCCTTGTGGGGAAACATAAAAATATTTCTAATTTCAGAATGAAAGTGCTAAAAATACTAGATTTACACGAAGAGTGATGCGTTATTTTATTTTAGTTCAAAATTTTCAAGATTTTCGAGAAAAACCAACAGTTAATTGTTTATAAAAAATCGAAATTCCACAGTCACTAGTTTTTCGTGATTTAAAAAAACTGTATAAATTTCATTGAAATCGACCTAGCGTTTTTCGAGCTCCAGTGGTCATCAGTTCAAAAGAAGAGTGTTTTGAGAAAAACGCATTTGAAGTTTTACACTTCGCTTCGCCGGTTACAGCTACCTGCTCATGACCGTTTCAGAGCGCCTGAAAATCCTTTGCTAATTATCGCATAATTCGAAAAGTATTTGTCGGATTTACTTCAAATTTTCGAAGAATATTTTTAAAATATGTATTATATAATACTTTGCATATTTGATATTATTAAAAGCAAAAAAAAACGATTTTTTGAAAACTCTGACTACACCTAACCTCATAATGAACACTTACGGATTAATCAGACTATATACTTTTTTAGCGGCATTCTCAGACAATATTCAAGGTTAAAAAATTAAAAATATATTTCCCCAATACTTTTAATTTTAAGCCCCTTCTGAAATTTTTGAATAATATACTATGAAATTAGATTTCAGAGAACAAAAACAAACGCAAGCGAATTAATAACAAGTGCAATAAACATCAAGGCACAATTTTCGTCGCTGTGTTTAATAGTTCTATAATGAAAGCTCAAAAGTCATGTGGTGGTATATAGATTTATGATGGTCTCTATCTGGTGCTGCGTGGAGTGATAAAATCTGTACTTAGGTATACATACAATACATATAGATGGCGTCACGGCATATCTAAATCAATGAAGCAAGTGCAAAATTTTTTAATGATAACTTTAATAGAAAAATTAAAACACGATTGATTTGTGCCCAACCCAAATTCCATAAAAGTTAAATATTTTATCTTAAATAGCTGAGCAAACGCCATATAATCGAACGAAATCCGTACATGTGTACATACATATGCCTCCATATATATAAATACATGCATTATCTGACTGTCCACATGTGTGCTGACAAACAATTATCGAACCTGGGGTATTGGTCATATGCAGCAAGTAAATTGATTGCTGATGGGGATGTATGTACATGTGATACTTACGAGATAAAAATATGAAGTGACAAGGCATACTTACGAGTAGGTATGTATATATGTATATATATATACTCTATAAGATGTGCATACAGACTTGCGTATATAATATATAAGTTGAAATGAAGTATTTTTCATTTGAATGGTTATAAAATAATATAACCTAAATATTTGAAAACATTACATACACCTAGAGACATATGTATGTATATAAGTACATAGAATCTTTTAATTACTGAATATTAATTTTATACCCACGAAGTATGTAACACCCCACCATAAAGTATATAAATGATCAACGTGACGAGCTCAGTCGATTTAACTATGTCCGCCTGTCTGTTTGTATATATGCGAACAAGCCCCTCGGTTTTTGAGAGATCGATTTGAAATTTTTCGCACATATTCGGGCGACATAGAATATAGCTGCCATACAAACTGAACGATCAAAATCGAGTTCTTCGATTGAAAAACTATTCATTTCGCGAGATATCTTTACGAAATATGGCATGAATTATTGTCCTACGCAACATCTAGGTATGAACCCTTTTTTGTGAAGTGTTTTATAAGTTTACGAGTAGTGTACACGAAGCAATGTATGTTATTGTATATTGTTCACTTGATTTTATTTTTATTTTTTATGATAAATTTGTTAAATGATTTTTCATCGATTGAAAACTTCATATGTTTGTCAGCTGAGCGTCACTATCACACGCCAGCGATATCACTTGATTTATGATATAAACAAAACTCAATTGGGCCATTTCGTCAACAGCTTTGTACATACTTGTAGTGTAGATAAACAACGCTATTATGATAAGATTTAAGAGTTATGCACATGTACATTTGCACACAAACTCATTAACTTGCATGTGATTTTACTGTTGCGTTAATTTGTTCATTTGTGTTAATGTGTTTGTTAACTTTTCGGTTTTATTTTCGAGTGTCTTGCAAAATGATTGATGTCACCAATAAACCAAATTGTTAAATGAAGCTTACTATACTAATTTTAAATGCTGTGCTACCTAGCAGTAATTAACAACAAATGGCTTATAAATACTAATAATATTTAATTCTCTCATAAAATGTAGGAAAACCGACCTATACATAAGTAAAAGAATGTAGTAACCCGGTCTGATATAAGAAAAAAAAAATACGTTAACGTCGGCTGCACTGAAGCTATAATACCCTTAGCAGGTGCATTTTTTATATCATAAAAAGGTATAAAAGCATCGTTTTCTTAATTTTGATTGGTTATTTTGTATGGCAGCTATATGCTATAATAGTCCGATCTAAACAATGCGTTGGCAGATTGTACCGTTGTCCTGGTTAATAATGTTATAGGTGTCCGCTATCGGCTGTTCCGACAAATGAGCAGCTCCTTGCTGAGAAAAGGATGTGTGTAAAATTTCAGATCGATATCTTAAAAATTTGTTCGGACAGTCGGCCATGGGTAAATCGACAAACATATAAGTATATGCTTTATAGGGTCTCCGACGTGTTCTTTTGTGAACTTTTGATACAAGCTTCATGGCAAACTAATATACAAACACTGACACACTAAGTATACAATTGACAGTTTATTCCCATTCTTAAATTTATTACGTTCCGATGACCCATTCCTAAAGTGGCAAAAATAAACTAATCCAAAGACAGGAGATCCAAAGATAGGCGATCCAAAAGCTGATAGATTTGATTAACAAAAATACATGGGCGCAAATGGTTAAAGGATTCATAAAAAATGTATACGAAATCAACGGAAAAATTAAACATCCTCGAAATTAAACATCCTTTGAAGTTTACTCAGGGAGCTAAACGTAAGTAAAATACGAAAATTCCTTTGAAATATATTAAGCTTATAAAAGTAGGGAATCTGCTTTCCACAATGGAACGTACAAAATCTTTATTTCCTATCAAGTAATTATAACCTTAAATTGGAAAAAAAGTGAAAGTTGTTTTGCATTGTGAATGCCATCTACTTAACTTCAGACGCCTCATTTTATAACTTTCATTGCATTAAACAAAGAATTTTGCTAGTAGAAATTAGTCAATTGCTGTTCATGACATTAAAATTGCACTCGTCAGGGACTGGCTCAAAAACATACATAAGTCTGTAGCCATAAGAAGCGCAACATTTTTAATGATCTCAAAATGTCATAAAGTAATCATAAGATGTGAAGGTAACTTTGGGTTACGATTCGGAATTTCAGGGTAAAAGAATTGGCAAGCATGCTAACACACATTTAACCGAAGAACAAGCTCGCTATGCACAAAGCGGTATGTATTCAAGGAGAGGTGATTTGCATTACTCATGATACTCAATTTAAATAAAACAAATTGAATTTCCATAAAAACAATAATTTTGTTAATATATTTTTAATATTTTTCAAATAAGAAAATTTAAGGCGCGTTCTTAATATAGAATTATGTATGCGTTTAAATGGAGTATACATTATTGATCTTCGAATGAACATATAATATTGTATATGAAAAACAGGATTTTATGAGCAAAGCAAAATTGTATAATACAAAATATTTGCTTTTTAGCTAATTTTTTCACTTTTTAACTGTTAAACTAGCGAATTAGCCGCTCGCAATAGCAGTGGATCGCTAAATGATTTGTGAAATATGACACCCATACATTAAGCTAAGCGGCGAGTTAGTCAGACAGACTGGCTGACAGTTAACGCATGACACCCGGTTAACAAACGAATAGAGTGATTTAAAAGCCATTGCATTGTCTTCGTAACTTTGCACAGTTCCCGCTCGAGTCGTAACAATTAAAACTAGTTCTACTTACAAGGTAGGCGCGAGTGAGATGCCGCGAATGCACAAGATCGCTTACTTTCTCGGCAACTAACCGCAAGTTGCACTACACTATGCAACCGCAGCGGACGTAATGTGTACCCCCACACTCCCAACCAATCGAAAATTAACGATGTAATGCAATATAGCAATTTACACATATATGTATGTATAGTGGAATGCATATCGAAACCGCTAAATATGATTTTTTCACTTTTATTGCTTTAATTACATTGTGTGATTATTTCACCGTTGTCAAATTACAAATTTCTTTATTTCTGTTGCATTTTGTTGTGTTAATCGTCAGCGCGCGGTATTTTCAATTTGAAAATTTTTCTATAATTTTTATTTATTTTGTCATACAATTTACCCAAGAGCAGTTATTAACGAGCTAAATATCATTTTATTATGTCATTAAGGTAATTCAAATTCGCATGTAAAAAATCGTTTGCACTTAACCGAGCTTTGCGGATCAAATTACAACAGCAAGCGAGGAATTATGGCATTAAAAAACGAAAGGCAAAACTCAGGCAGAGAAATCACAACAGAAATGTAAATAAACACAGATGCATGTATGTATGTATGTGTGTAATAATGTGTATATATTTAAATCATATAAACCATCAGCGTGACGTGCGCAGTTGATTTAGCCATTGTCCGTCTGTAAATACGCGAACTAGTCTCTCAGTTTTTGAGATCGATCTGATCTCGCACGTCCTTTTCTTCTTAAGGAGCTGTTCATTTGGGAGAACCACCGATATCGGACCACTTAGCGTGTGGCTGCTATCCAAACTGATCGATCAAAATCCACTCCTTGTATAGAAAATATTTAACGAAATTTGGGATGGATAATTGTCCAAAGCAACAATAAGATATCTGAAAAAAATTTCAAAATGGGACCACAATAGCTTATATCTGGCATACAAATTGAACCATCAAAATCGATATAAAGGTAATTTTATACCCTTTTATGCTACAAGAAAAGCATTTGTGATGGGCATTATAGCTGCGGTACGGCCAAATTTAACGTTTTTGCTTTGCTTGTTTTGGTTATTTATCATTTTTTGCGTTAGGTTAGTTTGTAGAGCACTTAATTCTAGTTTTTGCACAACACATACTTATGCGCATATCTGCTGTTTAATTGATAATTGAAAACTAATTTATACTGATGATTAAGTCATTTAAAAACACTCAAATTAGAAGGTTGTAAAAAAATTAAAACTGAAGAGAGTTGTAGTAAGTATTATTTTTCAATTATTTTTACGATTATTGAGATAATGAATATAACCGATTGGTTCTACGGCCACAATTATATAAAAATGCTAAAAAATAACGCAAACTCTTAACATAATTGAAGAGTGAAAGATAGCAATTTTAACATTAACATTAATATTATCTTCAGTACGTGGTTGAAAGTAATGCAATCTTGAATAGTTCTACAGTATCTTTTGTGATAATTCCTAAATATGTCCATATATATACTTATATAGATAGCATATCTAACTATGACGTTTTTGATGCAAAATGTTGAGATGTATGTCACTCATACTCAGTCATACTTGAGAAACTTTTTTGATCACGTGTGTGTGCAAAGCCACCAGGAAACAAAAATGAACAAAAACAAAAACAAGATCGCAGTTAAAAAACACTATTAATTTCTAATTTTACCTATTTGACGCTTCAAAATGCAAATCTTTCAGCAGTTAAGCTTAGTATGAACAAATAAACAAACACTATTTATTGATTTTGAAATGTCTGCTCTATCATAACATATAACGCAGTAAAGTAGCATAAAAGAAGAAATGAAATAATTAGAAAATATTAATGTATTAGTATAAAAGAAATAAATAGAATTGGCGGGAATGCGATTTGCAGCAACAGTTAAAAATTCTGGTTTGGTTATATTATTTTTAAGTCATATTTACAGATTTTTTATGCCATAATTCTATATCGAGAAAAAGGTAGAGATACAACAACTCGAACGTCAATATTTGTAAATTTTTAATTGGTTAATAATCTATGCAAAACTTTGTCACGATACCTTGTCAAATAGAAAAGTTGACCGTACAAGGACTAGATTGTGAACGTTCAGTTTGTATGGCAGCTAAATATAGCATTTAGGTTCGATAAGAAAAGTTTGTTTGAATATTGTAATGTTGATTAGCAAAATATTCCATGCCGAATTTCGTAAAGATGCCTTTTCAAATAAAGAAGATTTTCATACAAGACTTGAGTTTGATCGATCAGTTTGTATGACAGCTATTTGCTATAGTGGTTCGATATCGGAGGTTTCGAAAAATGAGCAGCTTCTTGGGGAGAAAAGGACGTGTGCAAAATTTCAGATCGATATCTCAAAAAATGAGGGACTTATTTGACTACAAGCATCGTGGCAAATTTAATATACTTTCTTCAGGGTACAAAAAAGGCTTATTCCATACCTCTAAAAAACAATTTCGCTGATAAAAATAAATTTATTATTTCAATATTATGGCAGAACCGTAGAGAATCTACTACATAAGTTAAACATAGATACACACAAGCATAGAGTATATATTACCAGCTATCTTCTTCACATATTCTTCATATATTTCTTCCCACAGTTTCAGATGTAAACTGCGCTGTGGTGCATATTCTGTTTTCACTAACGAAAAACAGCTGTTCAATATTTGTAAACAAGTCAAAATATTGAGTTGGCAATGCTTAAATTAAAGTTGTTTGCAAACATGTAAGGAATGCAACAAATTAGCAACAGTGTGCCGATACGAAACGTTAAGGCGTTGTTTAGAAAACTCACTTTATACAACTTTCAGAAGTTTTCAACTAAAAATCAGTATGAGCCTGCGGAACTCGTTCCTTTTCTTTAAAAAAGAAAATTACAGTTTACAGGTGAAAAATTGCAACACTGTGTGACTAACTGCACTAGTTACCACTTGAATTATAGATTTTCACTTTTTACTTCAAATAAATGATGATATTTTCAATTGAATCAAAAGAAACACACGAGAGAATTGGGAGATGAGTACGCGTAAATGTCACTGAATAATTTTGACAATATTTATGTTGTTTACCTGGGCTAAACTGCCAACATTGGCATTTCGTTGTCATATCTGTGGTGCTGGCCGAAATAAAGAGCGGCATTTCGAAAAATTTATCACATTCTGGATCCACATAAATACTGCTGCGCCGACTGAAATTGTCCATGTCGCGCAAAGCAATGATTTTGCCAACCATTTTGGGGCTTTTATTTTTTAAAACCACGTAATAGAAAAACTGTTGTTAGACACTTAATTCTTAAATTGCAGTTTCTAGGTTGTATACAAAATTATCTTGCACTTATTTATAAATACACTTTTTTATAAAGTTTTCTGCAACGCGAAAGAGCACAATTTCTAACTTTTAAAGCTCATGCTTTTTTTTTTTTTTGCTTTACTTATCACAATTATTAAATCGATAGGCAGCAGCTCAAATGTATCTGCAATGTGTAGCGGTCAATCCTTCAATTTGCACATTTTCACCACATTTGTATATATAATATATATATGCTTAGCCTTCTCTTTATTTATTCTGTTTTTCTGCTTGTTTTTTTATATTTTATTTTAGTTTTTAATTCAATTTTTATTGTTATGAAAATTAAGGAATTCCCTCAATTAGTGAATTAGTGTATCTTCTGTTTTTGATTGCTTTGTCGTCGAAAAGTTAGTTAAGTTGCTGATTTCGTTCGCACTGCACTGTCGCATAGGTAAAACGAAAATATTTTCACAAATTAGATGGCTACAACAACAAGAAGAAAATAATTCGTATCGCTCGTTTTGTCAGATCTATGTTTCCACTTGTTTTTTGTAGCGCGTTAATTAACTTGTTGTATTTGTAATGAATTCATCGCGCGCGCGCCACCTTCGCTGCCACTGCATTTGAGTACTGTTCGTTTACTAGCTCAGTGATCGAATGCCGACCGTCCCGGTATTTAGAACAAGTACGCGACAAAATATGCCATGCACTCGTAAATACGCATATATGTATGTATATCGCACTCGGTGGAAGAGGAGATACCAACAAAGATGCCTCCCCGCTAGCACTATATATAGAACGTTAAACACTGCTTGCTAATCTCGCTCGTTGCTTACGCTCATGACCCGGCTTACTTGTTGCTGTTGATATTGGCGTGTGTGTGTGTGCTAGCGTGCGATCAGCTGCTCTGATCATAGATTTTTTTCTCTGATCATAGCTGTATTTAGCTAAATGTGTAGCAAACGGAGGAGGACGCCCTATCGGTAAGGTACTCAAAGCTTTTGCCAATACAGAACCAATGGAACCAATGCAGATGCAACATTACCTTTAGTTCACGAAAGGTTGAAATGATCGCGGGATGCCCAACGTTCGTGACTCTTCGACTAGTTGCTTTTTTGCGCGCGCTTCGGACTCTCTCTCTTCACGAGTATCTGCTTATATGCCACAAATTTTATATGTATATACACATATATATCAAAGCACGTAATTTTTAAAATGTAGCGAGTGGGTGAAGTATGAAAGCTTAAAGCTTTTCCTCTGCTCTTACGCTGCCATTTTGCCGGCTGGCTAATACAAGTCGCGCAGCGTGTTTGTAAAATGTGCTCACCGCCGGCTAGTAGCTGATTTTTTCAGCTTCATTTTCTAGTAGTTTGTTTACGTACAGCGTACAAGCGAACTATCGCAGCTTTTGTTTTGCGCCGAATTATATAATAGTTTGCATATCTTTTTATTAATATGCTCCGCTGATTTTTAATCTCTCAGCAGTCTGCGAAAAATTGTAATTCAATATGTGATCCAAACTCATACTGCAAAGGACACCATCACCAGGTATGTGAGCGTTATAAAAATGTTACTTAATTCGCTTAATATCTTTATTTCAGTTTTAGTATGTGCAAATAAAGCGCTTGATTCTTGTTACGTGCGCGCTAGTGATTCATAAAACTTTTATAGCCACGGCTGTTTGAGGTTTTACACAATATTTGTGAAACAAGCAAGCGGCAAGCAAAAACTAGGCAGCGACATCCTAACGATAGACATAACTTTAGGATTGTCTTGTGATTGGTTGGCAAATAACGAAATTTTATATAAAAAAAATTAGCATACATTATCTCATTTAGGTATACCATAAGTGTGTGCTGAAAGAAAACTAGCAAATAGATCCGTGGCTAACTACACATCGTGATCGGACTTTCTGTGATGTGATGTATGTAGATAGCCTACTTATCAACTAAAAACACAGCTCAGGTTCGGCAAATATGATACTATAACATATGCGTTTAGTTCAAAGCTGCCTTTAATGTTGCTCTTAAAGGTCTAAAGTGCCGTTATAAAAGAGCCTCGTTAAGATTGACCTCTGCCAAGAGGAATGCACTTCGAAGCTGACCATCTAAATGTTTTACTGAGAACAGTATTTCTAGCATTTTTTCTATGACTTACGGTAGATTTAAAAGCTATAAGCCGGACATCTAATTTGAAATTTAAACAGAAAATCCGATTTCTTTTCATATTTCGATAGTTTATGAATATAAGGCATCAATAGGTTTAAAGACAGGCGGACAAGGCTGAATCGACTCAGCTCTTCACGCTGATAATTTATATGTGTACATATAATATATACTATATGAGATCTTCCACGACATCTTCTGGGTATTATAAACTTTGTGGCAAATTTAATATTCTCTGTTCAGGGTATACAAATTCAATGCATGATTACTTTCATATGACTAAGAATAACCATAAAATAAGAGTATGTGCTTTGTTAGAGGTAAATAAGTTTAATTGTGAGTTTAAATGGCACGTGTGTATATGTATGTATGTAGATGTGTATGTATAGTATATAAGTTGTATGTATGTATGTAGGTGATTGCCTTGAACGTGTGATAATTACGGCATTTCTCGCCGACTCATCTAATTTTCTACGCCCACAATTATGACAGAGATTCGTAAACATTGGAAGAATGGCACAAGGAACACACCAACAAATCATCTGTATATTTGCGAAAACATCTAAGTTTATATAACACTGCAAACCTCGCACAACTTTCGCCAAAACTAACGAAAAAATGCACAATTCGGTGAAGAGCAAAACAACATTAGGCATTTTCAATTGACAGTTGCGTATATAAACAGCGCGAGTGACGAATCTCTACACAATTTTTGTTGTTGCATTTTTTAAAATTAATTTTCTTCAATTTGTGTGCCACACCATGTCAGCGGTAAGTGCGGTTCTTAAGTCACTTCAATGATTTCGGTAAGCACGCATAAACACAGGGCCACAGAAGTATACCACACACATATACATACATGCATATAACATGTATATGTATACAACTTTAGGTACATAGATGGCTTCAATGTTGTTTAGGCACGCGCGTGCAACACTTGATGCCAAAAATAAGCCGTCAACCATAACAAATCATAAATTCGATTCTGTTTTAGCCTCCTCGCTTATGTACTTTTCTCAGATATGGGCAGTAAAAATGGTAAGATATACACATACACGATGAGATACGAGCTTTCAGCATCGCCTACAATGAATACCAGCGCATCACGTGAGCACCTGATTAGTAACACGAACAAACAGGCAACAAAACGAAATGAAAGAATGTACATACGAGCCTCGTATAGTGTATAGAAGCTAAAAAAAAATTATGTGCAAACAATCAAAGTACGAAACTAATTGCTTATTTTAACGGCGAACGATTGGTACAATATTTTCGGCAACATGCTAGAGACAGCACATAATCTTTCATAAGAATGTATCTATATAAACACTTTGAGTAATGAAACCTAGCTTGGAAAGCTTAAGAGGGAAGCACACTTAGCGTGAAAAAAAAAATTGGGTTTTTTTCATATTTTGTTAGATTATACTTTTAAAAATAACATAGTTATAGTTATTTTAAATCGATATCTCAAATAGTTTTTGAGTTACAGTCTTCCAAAGTGCAGCCGCTCAGTTCAGTCGGCTCCATCAGTTTATCTTTGAACGCGTTTAACTCGAAACAACATTTTTCAAATTTGCTGCGATGAGTACTTGGAGACAAATGCTTCGATCAGTTTTTTGAACTGATCAAAAATTGAATTTGGGCAGACAAAAAAAAGCCCTAAATTTTGGGTAAAATCAAACATTTTTAAAAACATCGTCGTTTTGTCCATTTTTGATTTTCTTTCACCGCTGGAGAGGCGGTAGAGATTTTTTTGGCAGGGAAAACTTTAAAAAAACCTTTAATAAAATTCAACTTATTTACAAAAAAAAAACAAACAAAACACGCCGCCATTTTTTCATTTGATATGTAGTTTTTTTCAAATTTCCAAAATCGTCTTTTCAGGCTGTAATACTAGGCGTGTCCCTGAATAACAGGGAGGTAAAATATTTCTAGCATTGAAGTGATTTCACTTGATTTTTTATCAAACGATTATTGCAAACTTAACAAATTTCGAATTCATATACATATAATATGAACATGCTTATAGACTATGGGCCGCCGCTTGAATCCGCCAATAAGTCGCAACGAATTAGCAAATTTTCCTACAGGGCATGTGATATGCATATTAAAAATACAATAACTGTACTACGTATTTGGCGTTGAATCAATTTGCAAATATATTTTGCATATTTTTGCCGTACACTTACGTACGTACACACAAGAAGTATTACGTCCATAATATTTATGCAAATTTACACACATATACACATATATTTATAGGATATGCGTTCGTATTATATACCTTGGCGTAGTTCATAGTATAATATTTGCTTATGTAGATATTTCTATTTAGTTCGTAATGTTCTTTGTTATTCTTTCGCTTGTCAGTCAGTTTGTTTACAAATAATACCAGCAATTGTTGTTGTATCAAGAGTATTGTACAGCTTTAGCAAATACTTGCGACTGCTGTTCATTTTGCTTTTATTGGCATTTGATCTTTTCTGATTTTTTAGCAAAACAAGAAAGAAAGTTAGAAAGATCGGTTTGTATGGCAGCTATATGCTATAGTGTTCCGATCTAAACAATTTCTTCGGCGATTGCAGCGTTACCTTGAGCAATAATTCAAAAACTGAGAATCTAGTTTGCGTATATACGGACAGACAAACGGGCATGGCTAAATCGACTTAGCTCGTCATGCTGATCATTTATATACATATATTATGTTATAGAGTCTCCGACATTTCTTTCTGCGTGTTACAAGTTTTTGTTCTTGTTCAGGGTATTAAAATTAAATGGCCAGAAATTGACTTGTTCCAGAAACACTCAAAAGGAATAAGAGCAGTGTGAAGCGAGCAAAAAATTAGAAGACAATAAAACGATAACCGAATTGAGCAATAAAAATTCCCTTTATGAATGCTCGCATCTATTATATAACGGAAATAAAATAAAGCATTTAGATAGATAAAGATAAAAAATACTAAATGCTACAAAGAGGAATTACTTACTATAAATTTGATATTATATAAATAATATAACTCAATTTAATATTATACAAATTTACGCCTTATTCTATATTTCCAACTATCGACTAACTTGGATAACGTTTCTTAGTTCAAAATAGTCAACGGAAGCTAACGAAACTAGAGAGCTAGTATATGGCGCAGCTAGTTTCTGCTATTAGACTCAACGGGTTGATTGGAGTGAACTAAATCGTATGGTCTGTGGGGTTTAGATGCTCTTGTCTTATTTTATAAAATCAGTTGTATATTTTATTGGTTACCCAAAGCTCCACAAAATAATATTTTGAAACGAAAAGACTTACAAACAAAAAAAAAACGTTAGAGGTTGCAGTATTTTTCAGAACTTGGAAAAATTACAAAGATCAAATTCGCTTCAATTCCAAAACAAAGACAAATATTTTCAATATCTACGAATAAATATCGTACACAAAGCTTGAATTTATATTGGAATCAGTGATAGATACTAGGACCCAATGCATCGGCGTGACAAATTTGCATATTTCTGCATCTAACACAAAAGCTCTTGCAATCCAATATATGGTTATTTATTGAACGATGTTGAAACATGTACAAAATATTTATACAAGAACAAGAAGAAATATATGCAAAAACACGACCGAAAATATCAACAAAAAACCACACATAAACACAAAAGCTGTGATAAACTCGAGAAATTCCTTACGAAAACGAGTAGAAAACACAGAAAAACGTCATCAGGAAAATTAACCTATACAAGTAATCAAGAACAAAATAAAAATTTGGCAACACCAACGAGACTGTAAGGTAAATTTGAGAAAAATAAACTGAAAATAATCGATACAGAATGGAAAATACACAAAAATACGACACAACAAATAATTTGTTGTTAAGAATTCTTAATGTTTTTCAACTGAAATTCTTTACTTTTCAGGATAAATTTGGTACAAGCTACAATAAATATGAGATTCGAATTTTCACGGAGACAAGCTATAACGATTTTTAAATAAGTT